CTAGCTAGAGGACGAAAATGATAAATTTGAGATTAAAAATCATCAAATAATAATATTTTAAAATTGAGCCGGCCGATTTAAAATAATCAAAATTTCAGAAAGTATTATATTTTTTAAAAAAAGATGATCATGATATCTATAAATTTTGGTTTTCACAAGCCAATGCATGTAAAGACAAAAAACCAAATTTGTGGATCACAATTCACCCAAAGCTTCAACCACGTTACCTTTGAGAGGAAAGAGGCCGCGCTCTACAAGCTGGTGGAAATGAAGGTAACCAAGGAAGCCGCAAAGCACTGGTGGTCCATAGAAGTATCTCGGGGATGCCAAGCTCGCGTGCTGCGTCAAGAGTAAAACTCATGGAGCCGTCCGAGACGATGCAAGAGACGGGGGGCGCGCCGGAGGAAGTCTCTTCATTAAGCTTGGCAATGAGACTTAGGAATGGACCCAGACAGGTTTTAATTGTGGATTCGCTGAAGTCGGGGATGTTCTGCGTAGCTTCCTCGTCGGATAATGGGAGGCCGTCGGGGATGGAGGCAAAACGGAAGTTGGGAAGTCCATGAATAATCTCTGTGCCTTGGGAATAAGCCAGCCGGCGGTGGTTGAATTCGGTGAGGACAAAGGTGATGTGGAAGCCTCGGGTGTGGAGGACCTTGGCTAGTTTTAGCATGGGGTTCATGTGGCCTTGGGCTGGGTATGGGATGCAGACTGCATGGGATATCTCTGATACGAGAGAAGCCATTTCTATTTCTCTTGATCACCTTGTAGAAAGCTAGCTCCTCGGTGTTTTTCTACCGGGACTTGGTGTTCTTAGTTCTGCTGAGGATGGGTGATGGCTGACTGCCTTTTTAGATGAGGATTATTATTAAATCTTTTTTAATTTATTGTGTTTGGACCGTTCTGAGTACTGTCTTTGGTTAAGTGTGGAAAATTACTCATGGTTTTCATCTATAGCAAAAGTGCAGTACTTTATTCAGATATTGCTTGTTTGATAGATCGTTGGTAATCTGTCGAAACATAATCAAAGAGTTCTAAAATCATCGGTAAGCCGTCGAAAACCGGTAACATCATAAAAAAATTAAATCGTTCTCTCAATACTGCAATTTACACATCTACAATGATAACCGTGCAATCAACACAAATCATAACACAGTAATAAAATAAATAACTAATAAACCATATACATAAACAAAAGAAAAAAGAAATTTGCATTAAACCAAACACAATGAACAACTGGCAAATAAAAATAATATTAGCGACCAATAAATTGTTTAAATTACAAGCAAACATAGAAGATAACCCATACTCATCCTCCTCTATCCTCTCCTCATCATCCTCCTCCTCATTCTCATCCTGAATTAGTTGCTTCTCTTTATGTAGATTAAACCACAACACCACTTCGATATCTGTTTTCATCTTCCGCTCCATTTTTTAATCTCACGATGGTCAAGTAGGTGGAGACCTGGGCAGCAACCTTAGCAGTAACCTAGTGACGCATCTCCTCCTCCTATGCAATGGAAGTAGATGCACCATATGGACTAGAGGTCAGGCAAGCATCATAGGTCGGCGCCTGAGACCCTGACTAGTAGATCCTGTCTCTCTTCGTACTGTTGAATGTGTGCCTCCTCCTTTGGGAACCAGGACCAATATGTTTGTAAATTTAATTAGAAATTGTTTGATTTATAAAAATAAAAATATAACTAAAATTATTATGTTCGGGGTTTACCTTAAACTCCCCAAAACACATATCCCAAACGGTCATCGGGATCACCCTCTAGGATAAGTACAGGTGATCTTACTTGCTCAAAGTTATGTCTCTGAAGGAATGGATGCTCTTTGTCAGGGAGTAAATCGAAAAATAACATATGATTAGTTTTCTATTAAATTTATAAAATAAGTCAGAAATGTCAGTATTAAATAAAAACTTGTATGTTCGCCATTGTCTGAAGTTGATGACAATTGCAATGTTGCTCAAATTACAAGGCACATCAACAACAGCTGATGGTGATGGTGCTACTAGTGGCGTGGTCACCACAGGTGGTTGTGGTGGTGTGTTGGTGTGGTGGTTGGTGGCGGTGGTGTTGTCGTGGTGAGTAGTGGTAGTGGTGTCGTGGTAGGACATGAGGTGGAGGCTTGCTGGTGTGCGTCGACCGCAAGACTCTCCTCCATAGCACCACATCCACGAACTCGTTTCCTAATAGACTTTCGCAAGGCACCAAGTCTCCCAACAGGGCAAAGACCGCCCCTTCCTCTAGATGTCTTCTGCAAGTAAGAAGTATAATTAATTTGTGCATCTAAAAATTACTAAAGCTGAAATACAATAACATGCAATAAAAATTAAGGAAAATAGTAAATTGCATGCAATCTATAGACTATTAAAACTGAAAACACAAGAGAACACAGTAAACAAAAGGAAAAACTATAAAGTGCAATCTACAAACCCTTGAACCTATAAACACAAAAGTACAAATTAAAACAAAATAAAAATGTAAAGTGCATTTTATGCCTACACCATTAAAACTAAAGACATGAAATTACATAGTTGGATTAACTTACACATCTTAGTTAGCCTCCTCTATTGAGTCACTTGAGGATATAGTTAAAATTATATTGTCCAAACCATCTTCAGAATCATGCTCATCAATATGAACTTCTTCGTGTTCGCTAGTAACATCGACTAAATTGATCTCCTCATCGATTAAATCAAGTGGAATGTATGAATCTATCATTTTTATTTACTAATGAATGTGTTTAATTGAATTCTTAATATCAACAGTCGCTGTAGGTTTACCGTCTATGACTACTTCCCATTCAACTTTGTCTCTTTTTTTATGGGGATATGGAAGAGAAAATACATGATTTACTTTCCTTGATAAATTAAACGAATCTAATTTATCATTTGTTATGTTCACTTTTACCTCTACAATATTATATAATTGGAAAACTTTTGTTCCAAAATTAGGAACAGGATCGAGTTTGCATCGGGTGCAATGGCTCGAAAGTGGGCAAGCCGGGTAGGCTTGATGTGCAAGTGAGTCGATCTCATGATGTGTGAATTTATGGGATAATTGTGAGAGGACACAAATCCAAATACTCACAACTTCAAACATACAAGTCATATACATGCAAAATGTCATGCAAGGCAATCATGCGGAGGTGCACACGTGTAAGTGAAATAAGGATGCCATGAAGCAGAATGGGTCAATGTGAGTTATGTCCAAATTTCTCTACTTCAGAATTAAATTTTGGATCAAGGGTTTAAGGAAATGCCTTTTGTGTTCCTAAGAAAAATTTCTACCAATTAAAATGGATCATTTTGTTAAGGAAAAATTAAATTTGGCTCAAATGGACCTTATTGGGCCTTCTGGTCCAAAGAAGTTGACCTAACCCTTACATGAGCTTTAGTATGTTCAAACGTCATCGTAAAAACATTAGTTTTATTTGAAACAAAATAGAATGAATTGACTTGTGATTGATTGAGCCTATGATCAGACACTTGGTCTAATGAGGTTAACTTATAGCTTAGAGGTCTCATATTATGTCAAAAGTGATTGCAAATGATTCTTAAATAAATTAAATTCATTAGAAGTAAAAAATCATGAGCAAAGGCGATGCTATATTTTGGTGGTTCCCATATAATCTCTTAAGGTTGACTTAAAAAAATGGATTGACCAAGATTTATAGACTAAGGGAGGGATTGGGGAAGGGTTTAGAATCACTAAGATGTATTCTAAGACATTTAATATGTGAGGCCTTGTGGCTCTATAGGTTGCCTATGAGTTGACTTGTGCTAAATTGGGCATAAAATTGGTTAACCTCCCTCATTTCAGAAGAAATCTATTATTAAGCTACTAATTACAATTAATGAGCTAGAGCAATTAAATATAGATTCGTTTGAAGCTAACAGATGGACAATTTGACTTGAGTAACTCATTCACCAAAACCTATAAGAGAGCACCTAGAGCGCATGAAGGAGTTCTAAGTCTATATGTGATGGCTAGGCAAGGTGTTCAATTGATTGTTTTCCCCTCATCATAAATGAGATCTACAACCATGCACAAAAATGAATTATGAATTTGGCATCAAGGTTGAATGTGATAAACTTGGACCACCTTCATATTGAAGCCTTGATAGTCCTCCAACAATACTATTCTAAGAATTTCCAAACAATAAAATTGTTGAGAAGAAAATTTAAAGTACAGAGAAAAATTCGAACAAATCATAAAGGTGATTATATATATATTTTAAGTTAGTTATCCAGCATCTGCTGCCACAAAGATTCAACAATAAGCTTACGATTCACAGTAGACTGCATCTTGAAATAGTAAATAAAAATTACTATATTTGGAAAGAATTCACCATTTTTTATCCTCCAAAATATTTCATGTTATAACCTTTGTAAAATTTCCCTGAATTAGATTAATTTTCTGGTTGGATATGTATAAGTACTTCTCGATTTATCATGGATTATCACGTGCATTTCAAACATTAACTACTCAAAACAGTATTAAAAGCTTTTGCATGGTGATTTGATTCTTAATTTTCCTATGATTTGAAACCATCAGCTTAAAACTTAGACACAAATAGCTGCCTCAAAAAAGCATGTAAATGCCAAATCACAGCAAAAATAAAAATAAAAATTCAAGAAATTATTAAACCCAAGCTAAATGTGCGGGGTAGCAATGAGATGGAGCACATAACTGAAAAACATCTCATAAATTATTTATATTAAATACCCACCTAATTATTGATACCTAGTACTTCTTATTTCAGCTCTCTTACTGAACGATATTAAAAACTCACGAACTCGTAATAAACCTACGCTGACTATTTTGAACCAAGCAAATCATTGATCATCCGCTCCAAGCCGTCGGAAGAGTTCCCA